ATTTATGTTTCCCTTTCACCTTCTTTTTTTTCTTTCAAATAAGCTTCAAAGTTTGTCAAATACAGTTAATCAAAGCCTAATTCAGATACCATCTAAAATTTACAATATTAATGTTGTCTTACAGTTCACAATTCTATGTAACATAAAAAAAATATAACATATTAATGTTATAAATCTAGAAATGTTGTTCTTTGTTGAGGTCGTAAGTTCTACGTATGTAGGGTATGTATATGTTGTTAATAATTAAAAACAATTCTCGACATATAATATCTTATAATCATCTCAAATTATTTAAAAAAAACTCCAACATGACATCGCAACTTGATTGTGGTTGTAGGCATTAGGGTGTAAGGAATTGTGGTAGAATTGAATGGAGAAATTTATAAATGGCCACTTGTTTTTATTGTGGAATGGTGTGTTGATGTGATAAACTAACGAGAACCGTCTTCCTACACTCCCTACTACCTGTTTATTTATACTGCTACATGCGGTTTCTACGCAAGCGACGCTCGAGTTTGTTAGCAATGTTTAGCCTTTTTTTTCAACGTCCCAATAACAATAAATATACATAAATGTCTAGTCCACTTGAATTATGATCAAATCCAAATTATATATGCAAAATATGAAATATATTTTTTTATGTTAAAATTAAGCAATTGATCTTTAAAAAAGAATCGAATTATAAATTTTTAAATAAAAATATTAGTGAAAACGTTAAATTTTTAATTATATTAATATGAAATTATATATTATAGCTCACATATACCTCATGTTATTTTAACAATTTTTTGTTGGTGAACAAAATAATTCCATACAAAAGAAAATGATATATAATCTGAGTACATAAAAAAATACTAAGAAAAAATAATAAAAAAGTCGATACGAAGTTCCATTTATTCAAAGTGCTAATATTAGTTCGTGATGTCTAAAATAAATATATTAGTTCGTGCCTACTTTTCTTTTGGAGCTAAGCATCATGCTTCCACTTTATGGCTGTCTCTTTCACCTGCCCATGCTATATATACTCCATTCTCCCCCTCACCAAACCCCTCAACATATATCAAACTCTATAGGGCGGTGGTGGTGTTTGTTTGGGGCAATGGCTCGACTGTTATTGATATTCCACAAGAAGGTGTTGTCCCTCGCAGCAAACAAACAACCAACAAATTTTATGACATCTTTTGTCGACCCATTGTTTTGTTTGTCAGAGAAATGATAAGTAACAGGCAAGGGGTGAGAAAAGTGATTCATAGTATCAAGGTCGGTATTGCTCTCGTTTTGGTCTCTCTTCTCTATCAACTCGATCCCTTGTATAAGCAAGTCGGAGATAATGCCATGTGGGCAATTATGACTGTCGTCCTCATCTTCGAGTTCTTTGCAGGTTTGTGTGCATTGCATGCTTCATTACTTTGTTAATAGCTGCTTCAGTTCGTTTCAGTTTAATTTACAGAGTTTTTGATGTCTTTTAGGTGCTACACTAAGCAAGGGATTTAACCGTGGATTGGGGACCATACTAGGAGGTGGTATGGGGTGTTTAATGGCGACGTTGGCCCAAGCAGTTGGTGGGGTTGGCAAAGCTATTATTGTTGCCATAACTGTCTTCATTTTTGGTACGGCTTCCGAGCTTAAGCTTAAACTAAAAAAAAATGGTGAAAACAGGGTAGCCACAAAATCTTCTAGTAACTGGTCTTAATCCAATTAGTTTTCAGCCTCTTGTGGAAAAGACAAACCCACCGGAGGAATAAATATTTTGTCATGATTTTAAAACTTGACTTAAGAGTAAAGCAGGAATGATGAGATTTTTTTATTGGTTCAGGTGCTGCAGCAACATACAGTCGGCAAGTGCCAGTTATTAAAAGGAGATTTGACTACGGAGCAATGATATTCATTCTCACATTCAACTTGGTACTAATATCGGGTTTACGTGCTGAGCAAGTGTTGGAATTAGCCCGTGACCGTCTCTCCGCCATTTCTATGGGCTTCGCTGTCTGCCTTCTCATAAGTTTGCTCGTCTTTCCCATTTGGGCTGGTGATGAACTTCATGATTCGTTAGTCTCCCGATTCCAACACCTCGCCATCTCTCTCGAAGGTACTATCATCCAACTCTTGAAAATAATAACTTTCCCTATATACTTAAAAATCTTATCATCTACTATCATTTATTGTAGGATTCTCTGAAGAATACTTTGGAAATGTCGATGAAGATGGGAAGAAGATTAGTGCTGATTTCAGTAGTAAATGTAAATCAGTCCTGCACACCAAGATAAAGGATGAAACATTGGTATATTTCTGTTCCTTTCATCTGAACTTCAAAATTTGCATAACCATCGTCTGATAAACAATGTGAAAATTGAGCAGGTAAGTTTTGCGAGATGGGAACCTTGGCATGGAAAATTCGGGTTTTTCTATCCTTGGGGAAATACCTAGAAATAGGAGAGGATCTAAGAGATTTGGCTACAATCATCCTTTCACTTAAAGGCTGCCTTAGATCACCCGTTCAGGTACAAAATTTTCAAATGTTTTAGCTTTTTTTAATAATTGGGTAATTATAAGGTTGTACATATTCAGAATATTTTTTCATTATTAACAACAGACACACGTCCTACAAACATAACTGCTCAGAATCTTATTTAGTCTTGTTTCTTTTTATCTTTGCTTAAATGATTTTAAATATTGTTATCATCAGTCATCGGAAGGTAATACTCTTCGACAATCAATGAAAGAACCATGTGAAGCAATTGTAGCACCACTGGCACAGATGTTAAGACAGATTGGAGATGGCGTAAAGGAGATGAAAAAATGTGAATACGAAGATATGATTTTGTCGAAATTGAAGACGGTGAGGCAAGAACTAAGCCTCGTTGCCAATCCTTCCACGGTTGGAATTAGTCATTTGGAGAAAACTGATGGATTGGGATTAGCCAGCTTCCTATACTCGATGATGGAGATGGTGGAGAAGATGGAAGAATTGGCGAAACAAGTGGAGCAACTGGGACAGCTTGGTGGTTTCAGATGATTGAATTATTCCAAGCTATATATATATATATATATATATATATATATATATATATATATATATATATATATATATATATATATATATATATATATATATAATCTAAATTTCAAGCTATGTACATATATGCTTGTTTTGCTCTACATATGCATATACTCATTGGCTGGCTATAAACATAAATTTTGAAATGATTATTTTTCACAATCTATAAAATTGTCCTAATCTAAAATTGATCCCATCCGTCCAATTCATAGGACTACATCGTAGGGATAATTAATGTCTGATATGTCTCGGATCGACCAAGAGAATAGTAGAAGGTGTAGTCGTACCTTGAAAATTTCAAATTTCTTTATAGTTTAAGTATTTTCTTTATATTTTTTATTAATAATCTAATTTTATACCTAAAATTTTATAATTATGCATCCTTTAATAAAAAAATATTGCATTTGTTCCTGTGTCTTGAGGGAGTTAAATTTAATAGTTAAAAGACATTTTTAAATATCAACGATGAAAGTAGGGATAGCCATGGGTCGGGTTGGGTCAGGATTTTGGTCCACCCGACCCGAGAACAAGAGAACTTTCACCCGAGACCCGACCCGACCCCAATATATGACTTAGAAACCCGACCCGAAATAATAAAAAATTATTTTTATTCAATAAAACCAGTGATTTAATTGAAAAAAAATTATATATAGAGGGGTATTATATAATTATTCCTAAATATATAAGGTAAAATTATATATTTTTCTGGTCGGATCGGGTCGGATATTTTGTACCCTAAACCCGACCCGAATATCACACTTAAAAAAATCCGATCCGAACCCGAATTTTAAAAAAAAAATCCGACCCAATCGGGTCGGGTGGCCATCCCTGGATGAAAGTTTACTCTTCATAAAATAATGCAAATGCTAGTAAAATAATAATGATGCTACAAATGCAAATGGACAAAACACCAATGAATCTCCATTATTGATGTTCAATCCGGAGAAAGAAACAATGAGGAAAAAAAGGGAAAATCTTAAAACACAAAAATGATTCCAAAATTTGATAAGTTTATTCAAATTAGCCCCTAAACTTTTTTAATCAAATTGATCCCTACCCTGAACTTAACAAGTTTAATCAAATTTGCCAATGCATTTTCTGTAGCAACTTATGAAGTTTAGTGTCAATTTGAACAAAAAAAAGGTTTAAAAGGTCAATTTGATCAAACTTGTCAAGTTCAAAGACTAATTTGACTTAAAAAAAGTTCAGGGACCATTTTGTGTTTTAAGCCAAAAAATGAAAAGGCCTATTAAAGTCCGAGGACGCCTGTCGTGTTATCAGAAACAGGCGGGGAGATTAAAAGATTCAAATGGGTTATCTTCCAAAAGTGGCCGTAGTAGCCATGATGGGCTTGCTTTTGTTGTGCAGTAATGTAAGAAGTGTTCCGGATACAAGCATCATAAGTGTTCTCTGAAACTTGGGTAGCTATTCCGAGTGCGATCCATTCGCCACTAGTTTGGCCTATGTCCTCGAAGACTTAGAGACCGTCACGCCTAAGAGTAAAGGCTACAATTACTTCAACATCTCTCCGTATCCGAACGCCTTCGCCTACGGCCATGCGGCTTGTAATCAGAGCCTCACCACCTCGGATTGTGCTGCTTGTTTGAGTGCTGCTGAAACTGCCATGTTCGGAACTTGTCAAAATCGAATAGGGTCTCGCTCGGTGCTCCATGATTGTACCATTAGGTATGAGCAATACGCATTTGATGACTAGATTAAACAACATTCTGTCTTAGACTCCACTGGGAATTAATGGACTTTATCTCTAATCATGTTTATTTTGCACGAAAGTGTTTGAAACACTCAAACTTGTCTATTTCCATGTAATCATACATGTTTCGAGTGGATTTGTGGTTCAGCTATGCATCTTTCTATCTTAATCTGAGTTAAAAACTGAATCCGCACAATATTAAGAATGCATTAAGGTTTTCCAACCTGAGGGATAAAGAATCTGCTATAGTTTCATTGATCAAATGAACAAGATTTCAAAGTTTCAACTCTATACACTCGTCAAGAATATGATTGTGAACCATTTTTCATACAAGCTCAACTATCGAGAAACTTTATATACCCATCACAATGAAGTTTGAGAGCCTTGTGCCGAACTTGGTGAGCGTAATGATTCCCGCTGGAGGAAAAGAGCGTAAAGAATCTCATTCCATGAATCAGGCACACCAGGTAAACACCAGTGGCTACAATCTTGACGGTTCAGAGGACCTGCCCCAATTTCCGGGCCAAAACGATACAATGTTGTATGCCCGTCTTGTCTTCGATATGTCATGGGAGTAACGTTCATCATCTGTATAACTTGAAACCCTTCTGGGTTTTTTGACAACACACCAGAGACCATGTCAACGAGTTTCTCAGTTTGATTAGGCAATGGACCAAAGTCGGGTAGCTTCAGATGATGACACTGTCCTCCAGTTTTCCAGGTGCCACCTCTGTCCATGCAGCCACGGTGATTAATAATATACACATATATTTGCATGGTATATACATTTTGGTCCACAAGGAACACTGGAATAGATACATATATGAAGTACGGAACACAAAAACATGTATCAGACAGCAAATCATATATATAACCATATTAAGTTCAATGCTGTTCTAATGTACATCCGATTCATAACCATCTTGATCGCAATACAAGAAAGCGCAAAGAAAAAGCAATGGGGAAAACCTGAAATGTACAGGAGCATAGGTGCGAAAGAGAACTTGTGTCTTATTCGTATCTACTTGACTGGTAACGAAGTTGACTAATGTTTGAATGGATTTCTCAAATGCAGTTCTAAGGTCCATCTCCATCTTCACCTCCGTCCCTTCTTGGAAATAACAACCACTGCCACATCACATAAATCCAACGATTAGGCGACGTGATTATAACGAGAACTAATGGCAGCTTCATTAAACTAGCACCGAACTGTTAACTGCCATTGTCGATCGATACTATTTTAACCAAGGATGGATAACTATGTTCCTATAATAGACCAGACATGCACAAATAGTCAAGAATGATGTAAGAACATACACACAACCTAGATCATATAACATATATCAGATTGATGAGATTTACTGTTTTATTGTCTTCTCATAACTCCACCAATGGCCACTGTTAAAAACCAGCACATCTGCATCATTCCATTGCATATGACTCCAGGTCATATGATCCAGTCTTAGAGTCATCCTAACTTCTTTCGGAGATCCCCTTGGAGAACTGCCCTGCACCACTAGATACGGAGATCTGTAGTATTCGACCGTGCAGTTATAATCTTCAAACCTGAAAACCAAGAAGCCTTTGTGTTTAGTAATCGGGCTCCCATTCACCTCATAGATCGAATCCTTGTTGGGAATTGCAGTAGCAAGCATGCAGAGCATAGATTCCCATTGGTTCCTTCCAATGGAGTCACCGATAAACACGAGGCGCCGGTTCCGCAGCTTTTCCAGCATCATAGTTGCATTAAATCTGTCTTCAAGAAGATAATGTCAGATACAATATACATTTTCAATCAAACAGAATTTCTCATGAACATAGTTAACAGAGCAAACTATCAACAAACTGAAATGCAATTCGAATTTACTTGAAAAGACAATGACAACGACACCAATCATCTTCCATACACATGCAAAGATCAAAAATCCAATTTTAACCCTAACCATAACAGATAAACAAGTGCAATGCCCCATTCCTTTTTCAAGCAAGCATAACAGATATAGCACTAATTACCAAAATAAAGTCTCAAATAAGAGAAAGGACGGACCTTGGCAAATCGCAACCATTAGGCTGCCAACGCCACTTGGTGTAGTAACTATCGGGGCGGCCATTTTCTAGACACCGGAAACCAATATCCACAAAAGGGCAATCTTGGCTTTGATAAAGAGGGTAGTTATCATCCCAGACCCATTGACCATCATATATGTCACATGAATGTCCACCTTCATCTAGGAATCCCAGCCGTCCATTCACATTTACTGTTGCTGATAGTGCCTTATCTATTGCTGCTTTTGCTTCTGAACTTTCTGACGGTGACGATGGAGTGCCACTAAGTCCAAACAAAGGGAAGCCGAGATTGAGGACGGCCCGGTAATCCAAGTAAAAGAAACCCCCAATAAAGAGACAAAATACTAAAATGAATCCAAGAACACCCAGAAAAGGGTCGAGGAAGTTAAAGTTCTTGGATTTCTTGGAGAAATCAACCTGTATCATTTTATTTTAAGTCTTGTGAAATTGTATTCTATACATCTCTTATCACATAAAGTTAAAAAAAACCCACTCATACTGATTAATGAACTACGTTTTCTAAAAGTTTACAAGAAAGTATGTGATTTTAAGGGACAATTTTTAGAAATGAACAGAGAAAAAAGAGAGTACAATCTTTCGTTTTTATTCCTTTAATTCAACCTTAGCCTTGAAGAAGACAATGTCATTCTAAACATATATACACCTAATGATAAATTAAAATTATTAATGAAAAACCAAATTATTAATATATCACATAATTATGCTTACATTAAACCAAGTATTAAAATTTGATTTGCTTTGCAATTACAGCTAGTGTGTATTTACTATCATTTGTATCGGAATGCGATTCCAGTTTCGATATACGTGCAAGCGTCGCCGATAACAAGACTTACCGATAATACCAACGTATAAATTAATTGAAAAATGGTGTAATCCTATTTAATTGGTATATATGGCTCTATAAAAAACTGATTTCAGAAAATATTAAATACTATTTTCTTGTCACAATTACTTCATTAATTTGATTAATTATGGTAAATATACTATTTTTATTAATAACAGTAAACATCTGTAATATTTTTTTTTACAAAAATAAATAAACAAAGGGAGCATTAAGTTTTGTGCCATATGGGCACACAGCACAACGAATGATGCCTCTTGCTTGCTGATCCCTTCATCTACAAGGAAATGAAAAGTATACGTCAAATCATTGCATTTGATGATAACAGGTTTTCTTTTATTGTTCACTCTTGTCGGTGAGATTGTTGGATACTTTTTTTCTCGATTTTAGCTGCAAGATTCCCCTTGCTGCTATTTTTATTTTGCTTTAATTTGATTTTTTACACAAGTCCAAGAATAAAATTATTATAAGTTTTTGTTGTTGAGAATCAGATGATCTTAAAGATGGTAACCTTTTCTTATTACATGAAACAAAACTGAATCTTTACATCAAAATCCGCCCGGAAAAATGATTCAGAGATTGATAGAAAATCCATAGGAAAGGTGGTTAAATTGAAGCAGAGGCATCTACATCTACAATATATAATACCAAAACGTCACAAAAGCAGCAATGCCACTTAGTATACAAAGTCTATCTAACCTGCTTTCGTTCCTCTTCTTCTCCTCTTTTAACTCGCTCTGCACTTTCGAGTACAGATGACATGATTCCACAACTTCGCTGTAGTTTTTGCTTCGACGGCAGCTTAGCGCTTCCTTGAGAATATGCAAACTGTTCCTTCCGTTAACGTGCGCACCTTCCATGTCTTCCAGCTGCATGCTTAGCTCCGTCAATTTGAGAGTCGTCTCTACAGCGACACCTTCCGTTTGTACGACTCTGAACTTCATTATGAGAATGCATTCTACTACTTGACATGGGAGGATGTCTTTGGCAGGAAGAACAGACCCGAACCGTATCACAAAATCTTTATCCGTTGGCCAATGTCTCTGTCCGCCAAGAGGACTCCAGCTCGCAACATTAGCGGCTTCCTTAACTTTCCTGTTCACAATGATCCAACTAAGGCGGATGCCGTCTCGGAGTTCTTTCCAAAGCTTTCCGTCTTTCCTTTCCTTTTCCATGGAGGTAATAGGTGGCAGACCGTCGGAAACCGAGAGGGTAACCTCACCTTCACTATCATCGTCTCTGGCTGCATAATTAAGAAGATCGATCCGGAATGGGCAATTGTGAAACCAACTATTGGATCCATTTGCATTTGGAATGCCCCATAGAACTTTTGAGCAGATTGTTTTATCTTTATACCTGATATCCACAACTGAAACAAAATCTAACGGCGAGATACTTTCAAGCCCGGAGTTGTCGCCGTAATATTCTGCTTCCGTCCATTCTTCGGGGTACTCGAGATGGCCATTCCACTGGTACTCTGTTACTTCCTTATTAACAATAAGCGGAAAACAATCTGCATAGAATTTTCTAAATCCGCCAATCGCCAAAATCAAGCTTTTAACATCATCTCTGTTGGTTGAAGGCCACAAAGAAGAACAAACATTTTCCCACAGTCTCTCCTCTCTGGAGATGGAACAAAATGCCGAGCACGAACATGCTGCGGAGGCCAAACTTGGACCATCAAGGCGCCTCAATATGTCGTAGAAAACATCGGTGCTCAGCGATGCCATGCTCTCAATGGCTGCTATTGACATAGCTCTACAGGGAAAATAAAATGGGATCATTCATGATTACTCAACTAGATGAGTCTAAGAACACCAACCAATTCATCTCACTGATTGAAATTTTAGCCCATTAAACGCAAGCATTCTGGTTAATGCAAGAAAACCCTAACACCCACCAAAATTACAGAAATTCCCTATAATAAGTCAAATAAGAAAGCTTCACAAAAATAAAAAAATCTCCCCCAAATCAACTACACACGAATATTCATGAGATACTTAAAGAAATGATTTTCACAAGTCCAAAACTCAATTTCAGATGATCATAACAGATCAATTGAAGAACCACTTGCAGAAATACCAAAAATTCAACCATAAAACACTCAAAATTTAACCTTTGCATACTTTTCACCCAGAACCAAAAATGCAACCAAAAAAAAAAGAAGAAAGAAAAAAAGAACTCCAACAAGTAGGAAGATGTTACCTTAAATTGGGCATGCAAATATAAGAAACATGATGACGAAACAAAGCTTAAAAGGGAACAACAGGAACAAGACGAGGATGTTGTTTGATCGCTGCTGATTCTGAAATAGTGGGAATTTATCCAAGTCAACGGAAGGGAAGAGAGAATCTTATAGAACCAAAGATGGCGGATTCGATTATGGGTTTTGGGTCAAAATGTTAAGGGAAAACAAAAAAAGTCGGTTTCTGAGGTCAATTTCCGCTCATCTTGTTGACAGATTTCTTGGGTACTGTGTTGTTGTCTGTACCTTATCATTTGGGTCGTGTTTTAAGATATTTTTCGGCCGCTTCACATGTTTTGTCCGGATCTTATGGTTGTCGTTTCAGTCCCTACTCATATCTTGCCACGTAATTACGTGTCGGTATTTTTTTTAATCATATCTTAGAAGTTTAGGTCCTTAGGATCATTTGCCAGTGTCGGTATATACAAATGTATAAATAAAAAATAAGAATTTTGATTAAAATAACAGTCTTTTATCTTTTATTTAAAAGGGCATTTAATATGGGTTGTTCTAATATTGATATAAACTTGAAATGTATCTCACCGGACCACCTACCAAGATTTCTAAACTATTAATGTATAACCTAAACTTCACAATCATATAATAAGTAAAGCCTTGGATTATTTTTCTTCTTAAAATTAAAGGTCAAAATATGAGATTATACCATTCCTTATAATGCTAATAGATTGGGTTAGTTGCGACGTACACCGTGAATGAATAAAGACGAGCTTTCTAGAACACAAGATTGGGGATACTGTTTTGAGATCCACAGCGGATCCACATATATCTCAAGGTGGATATATGTATCTTGAAATTTAATTTTTTTAAAATTATTTATTTATTTTATTAATAGTATTTATATTAAAATTTTATTCGTATTTATTTTATTTAAAAAATTTATATTATTAATATATGTATACTCATCCTCAAAATTATTTTTAAATTCATCACCGTATAAGAAGAAAGTATTGTCTCATTCATCGCACGATTCAAGCCCTTTTTCTTCTATCATAATTCTTCTATAATAAATATCATGCTCAAGTCTTTTCATTATCATAACTAGTAATTTTTTGTTCATATTAAAATAAATGATTATCACTGATATTCACAATTATCATTATTTCGTTATACGTTAACAATATTAATTTTACTTTTCATAATGATATTATAGTTTAAATATTTTTTTGATAAATTTTAAATCTAATCCTATTTAGAATGAAGGAGAAATAGAGACTCTAAAGAAAGGAAGGAAAGTTTTCATAGTGAGTTTAGAATCAATGACCTAAAGACATATGAGATAACAAAAATAAAAAATTTAACCAACCAATCAAATATACTTACTCTATTGTTTTAACATTTTACATCATAATGACATCCACTATATACATATTACACGACAAAATAATACGTTTTTTTTTAAATTCCTTCGTTGAATCCCTGAAACCATATTGCATCATCGATTACTGATTAAATAAAAGATGGGTATTGATTAATCTTGGTATGTAAGTTTGGTCATAAGAGAGAGTAGCATTGGTATTGGCATTTTGAACATGGCTCATAGCTGAACCTAACTACTAGTAGTAGTATAAATGAATCATCGAACAATTTATCGAGACAAAAATAACTTTTTCAGATTTGGAGTTGTAGTACAATTTCTTTAATGGGTTGGCTACTAAATATTACTTGTCTGAAAAATAAAATGAATAAATAAATGATTTTGATTTTAAAAAAATATTTTGGGAGTCGACATTGATTTTTTTTAGTTAGGTAGGTCAAATATCTAAAAACAATCTTTTAAAATAGTGTTTAAGAAAACATAATTTAAAAGAATAAATTGATTTGTGTATAACCAAAAAATTTTAATAAAGAAAGGATTCGTGGTTGGTTACGTTTAGGGAATGATTAACACCCCTATAACGCTCAAAATTGGTACTCATTAATTATAAATTGTCTCTATTATTGAAAATTTAAGAATTCAAAAATATATTTAACTCATAATCATGTTATTTCAAATTTATTAGTATACTTCCAAGAAAATATATTAATTTTTATATTTTTAATAAATAAATAAATATATATATATATATATATATATATATATATATAATTTATTTAGAAATATCAGAAAAAACTTCTAGTTGCTTTAAGACAACCCTTTCTTAATATTAATAAATAAATAAAATATTAATAAATTATTTCTCTAAAAATAATTAAAAAAAATAAAATTAATATATATAATATATAAAAGTAGGATATTTATTAATTTAAAAATATCGAAAAATGACTTCTAGTTGCTTTAATACAATCCCTTTCTTAATATAAAAAAAGATAAATAAATATTAATAAAACATTTCTCTAAAAATAATTAAAAAATAAAATAAATTAATATTTATAAAAATATCAGAAAAGGACATCCAGTTATTTTAAGACTGATCTTTCTTAATATTTAAAAATAAATAAATATTATTAATTTATAAAATTAATCAAATAATATATATTAATATGATTAAAATAATAATAATATTAATTAAAATACTGAATTTAAACATATAAAATTAAAATATTAATAAATAGTGACTAAAATAAATAAAATTAAAATTATAGTATTAAAATATAAAAAAGAAATAAAACTTATAAATAAATGAAAGTAGTGATTAAATTATAACATATTAAAATTAAATGTCCTAATTCGTAATTAGTTATTTAAAATTATAGGGCTAAACATGCTATTTTACCTTATTATTAATTTAATGACTAAAATAAACATATATAAAATTCGGACATCAAATTAAATTAGATTAAAACATGATATTCGGGATTAAAATATTAATTATTAAAATAGAGGTCTAAATCTGTTATTTTACCTAAAATATATATAAAAGCATAGAAAAGACTAAATTATAAATTAAATAATATTAAGAAACCGAATTAAAAGACTCAATATTTGATTTCAATGACTAAAATGAAAAAAATACAAATCTATAATGGCTGCAGGTATAGTTTAACAAGTGGTTCATCCCTTAAACGACGTCATTCAAGGGAGAGTATAAATACCCTATTATACCCGGCCTTAAGGCCATTTTTCATTTTCTCATTTCCTCTTCTCTCTCTAAAAACGAGAGAAGCATTCTCTCTGCCTTCTCTCTAGGATTCCCTCACCGGAGGGAATCCGGTCGTCGGCCAGTAACTGTTTGCCGCCGCCAACTGGCGATAGCCGAAAAATGCCAAAGTTCCCCAAATAATAGATCCGAGTGATCTAAACCCGATTCTGACCTCCTTTTATCCTAAAATCCACAGATTTTCCTAGATCTAAAGAAATACCTTCGGTATTTTGACTGCTATGGTGGCGCGTAGAGGCGTGTGGTGACTCCGGTGATGGCGTGGCTTCCTCGGTAAGTATCTCTATATTTTTATTTTGTTATTTGATGGATTTTGGTTGCTGTTTGGCTCTCTGTCTTCTATTTGTATATCTATTTTGTAGGTTCGGTCGATGGTTTTATAGCCATCACCGACGCTCGCCTCGGATCGGGTAAAAGGGTTGCAGTTTGGTGAGTCAACAAACAATAGTGGTGACTCACCGTAGCCCTCAATGTGGACAATCGACGTTGAAGCTTCTGGAGGCCTCGAAGAACGTCATGGCAGTAGATGAAACAACGAGGAGCGGCGGCAACAGAGGCGACGGCCGCGTGGCCCTAGGGTTATGATACCCTAGGGTTTGTTGCTGGGACCATATGGACCGTTGGATCAAAGCTAGATCCAACGGCTGAGGAGCGGGTGGTTGGGTGTTGGGATAGAAAACCCTAAATAGGTTTAAGGTTTCTGTTGGGTCGGTCTAGGTTGGGCTATTGTAACTAGGTTGGTCTGGTTTGGGCTTGTAATAATATATAATAATAATAAAATAAATATATAATAATAATATAATAATAATAATAATAATAATAATAATAATAACCCAAATGAAAAAAACTAGTTTTTCAGCTACCCCTCTTTGCTCATCTTGTGTTAACGAAATAAGGCAAAGACGAAAAACAAAAAGTTTTTTTTTTTCATTTGACTTCACTTTATTAGGATGTAAATGTGAACAAGTTCTTCTTATATGAACTTTTTTGACAATTTATTCCTTCTGTGATGTAATCTAGCAAAAGGTTGAACAAGCTCTCATTATGAACTTATTATTCTTTAGATGAGTTCTTCTCATTATGAACTCTTCTGGAAATGTTGACCTTCAAAAGAGGTGTTGTTGATTCAGTTTTTAATATGTGATGAATTAAGGCAAGGTTGAACAAATTCTTCTCATTATGAACTTGTTCTCCTTCTTCAGATGAGTTCTTATCATTATAAACTCTCTTTGGGAAATGAATGTTGATGTTGATCTATCTCCTTCTGTGATAGAGTTACGCAAAATGTTGAACAAGTTCTTCTTATTATGAACTTCTTCTTCCTCTTCAGATAAGTTCTTCTCATTATGAACTTTCTTTGGAAAAATGTATGATGATCTATCTCCTTCTGTGATAGAATCATGCAAAAGGTTGAACAAGTTCTTCTCATTATGAACTTCTTCTTCCTCTTCAGATGAGTTCTTCTCATTATGAACACTTCTGGAAATGTTGATACTGATCTATCTTCTTCTGTGATAGAATCAAGCAAAAAGTTGAACAAGTTCTTCTCATTATGAACTTCTTTTCCTTCTTCAGATGAATTCTTCTCATTATGAACTCTTCTGGAAATGTTGATGCTGATCTATCTCCTTCTGTGATAGAATCGAGCAAAAAGTTAAATAAGTTCTTCTTATTATGAACTTTTTCTTCTTCTTCAGATGAATTCTTCTCATTATGAACTCTTCTGGAAATGTTGATCCATCGAGTAATGGATTCGATTTTTTGTTGAAATCTTTGCTAATCTTTGAAATTCCTGTCAAATATTCAATATTGATAAAATGAATGGAAATATCCCCATTTTTGCAAATGTCTAAATATGATGCATGGATGTTAAGTTCATCCTTATTTGATTTCAAAGTGGCCAACTCGGTCTTCTTTCACTTAGTCAAAATCATTTCAAGCTGGTATTCTCTTTTTTGGAAGAGACTCTATATCCTCTTTTCTTCATTTACATTAAAGTCTCAGAAGAAATGTTTCATTCACAAAATTCTTGCTACGGTCAG